ATGGATCTCTGGGTGACTCGCTGGGTTGAGGAACAAGCACAATGTCAGCATTGCGTCCCGTGGCATGTTTCAATCTCGAAGTATCTCGCCCTAGAAGTTTCGTTAACCCTTCTTACCATGCACAGAAGAAGCTAGAAGCACGGCTCCCACCATGAAACTGATGATGTTGCGCATCGACCATGTCTGCGAGCAACGCGGTGCCCGGGACATGGTCTAGATGTCGGTCTTCGAGAACTCCGAGACCCATGTTATTTTGTGCTCAAAGGGGCCAGTCAAGGATCTGAATCAATCTCCTGTGAAGCAATTGATCTCTAAAGGCAAGGACACGACCAGATCAGCAGTTCAGAGGCCTTGGAAGAACAGGGTGTGCCACAGAAGAAAACCGTGGCACTGTTTATATGCGAAATAAAATACTTGTGCATCTTGCCTTTCTGCGGGGCTGTCGGCAATGGACAGGGCTGTAGATACCGTAGCCTAGGTCTGTAACGACCAAACAACCAACAGGCACAGTCTCGCACAGAGGTCATTCTCCCATCTTGCGGTTGTGGTGGAACTAGAGGTTTCCCCAGACCAGACCAGCCTCCCATTCTCCAGTTTGGACTACCCCAAGGTGGATCGGCCTGTGGCGTACAGTACTTGTGCATTTATTTGCTTGACCAAAGATCGGCAGATATGTTCGCTCATATTGGCCCGCATTGACAGTCGGACAGGCCAAAGCGAACACATTATTGGTAAGGAAAGTCTCCGTCGATGAGAAGTGCGTCGTGGCCCCCTGATATCAATCCACCACAAACAACAGAGGCGGGGAAGGAGGATTGTTCATTGCATGCTAGATCTGAATGGATCGTGTGCTTCGTGATTGGACGAAATTTGCAGGATCATGGCGGTGGTTGACTTAAGGCGTGGAGACAAATCGCTATACCATTTTGAGGAAATGGATTTGGACGTATCATAAGGACATGCTTTCCAGGTTACTTTACTTCAATTCTCCACAGCTTCAGTGATGACCATCAAGGGGCGCACAGCGGCTTCATAAATATAACCGAGTTTTAATGGGTTCATTCCTGGTCTGCTGATCAAAACCTGCCTCGGTTCGACCGAATTCCCATTCCAATGCAGCCTCGCCACACTGAATGGGCTCCATGGCCACACGTAGGCGTAGGATACTGCCAGATTTGCTGTGTAACGGTAAAGATCGTCTCAGAGAAAGCTTCTCTGGAACACTCATTACTGGTGGGGGAGCAGAGCCATACCATGGTAGCATAAACGTAACTCAGCTTCTCAGTCGAGGCATCAGTCGAGTTTATGACGGTCTGATTTCGACAGCTTCAGATCGATGGTGCATCCATGCTAGGTGAGAAAGTGACGGGTTTCTGACTTGCAGGATCCCCCTCCCCAACACAGTGCACCTTCTTGCCTCGAAGCTCGAAATATCGGCCGTGTGCCTCACTTGCGACCCTTCTCTGGGCTGTGTACTGAATAATACGTGTCTCATCATCAAGTTGGTGTGCACTCTCGTGATGGACATCCTGTCTCTGCAGTCGGATTTCCCACGGAACTGACTGCAGGACAATTTTTGGAATAGTGGTTGGTTTTCACAACCAAGAGAAACTCCATCTCGAATTCCATTTCTCGCAAGATGAGGCGGGGAGCAGAGGCCGAGAAACGCATATACTATTCGACTCTTGTGCTTCGACTGCCAATAGAGTCTTCTGGAATTGCAATGGTCGAGCTTCTCGATTGAGAACCTTCACGGCATTCTCCTCATCGCTGGAGTCTAAAAGGATTCGAAAAAGACCCTGCACACGGCAGTATAGAATCGCACTCATTGACCCTAGCCATGCTGATCCTACGTCGTCAATGTCCAAAGCATCAGCGCCGAAAAGGAAAAACCCTCTTTGTCATACCCTCGTCGTAAGATCTCATCGACTCGTCCCGTAGACACAGAATTGTGTCTAAGTAGCTCACATGAGGATTGTGAAGACCTTAGCCTGACCTAGTAATAATTGATGTATGGGAATAACTGAGGTTTGACCACAGGCATTGAGAGAGCGGAAACCCAAATAGCATTTTCTTGGCTCGAATAAGATTCCGCCGCGCCGCTTGCCAAGATGATTCCAACTGTGACTCTATGAGCCAAAGACCCAAGGCCATTCTCGCTCAACCTGCCTCCGTCGCTGGTCTCCCTCCAACCAAGAATCGCCGCTCGCCCGTTTCCGACGCCAATAATTCGGAGATGTGACAATTTTCAAGGATGAAGCGTCGAGTGCAGACAATCCAATGTTCCAGCACCAGGCTTGAACCCTCTATCTCGATTCCTGGCGCTCACTGACACTAGTTACGTGCCTCCGCGCAGGCGATGCAGACGGCCGTTGCGCCTTCTCGGAGTCTTCTGCGCTACCTTCGATCCCAATCAAACTCGATCTTCACAAACTCCAGTTCCTTCGCAACATGTGCTCGAACGCCGTGTCGAGCCCTATCCACCACCTCCCGCCACAAGCGTCTCTCCTCCATTGAGGATATATGGCGGCCTGTCCGCGAACCATGCAAAGCTCTTCCTCCCGCGAGATCCTGTCCCCCGAACATTGCACAGTCTCGTAGCGCCAGCACCGAAAGTCATAAGCAAAGCTTTTGGCGACGATGGCTCCGTCAAAGGGCCGCTGCATCCCGCTCAAAAACGCCACGAGACTCTTCGACACCATCCTCACCCTACGGGTACGACGAGACTTCGGCGCAACTCTTCAATCTCTCTCGTGCCCTTTCTCGCAACACCAGCGGCGCAGAATTGAAGCTCCGTTGTACCGAGTTTGACGCCAATGGCTCCGTCACAATGGTATCAGGCGAGTTCAAGAAATCGGAACTTATCGCCAAGTATGGACTGCTGCCTCGAGACCTTCGAAAGATCGACTCCTCCGTCCTTCCTCATATCCTCGTCCGTCCTTCGGCCATCCTGATTAATCTCCTCCATCTTCGAGTCCTTATACAGTCTGACAGAGTTCTGGTTTTCGACGCTTTTGGAAGCACTGACTCTTACACTCAGTCTCTGTTCATGTATGATCTGGAAGGGAAACTTCGACAAAAGGCGGACCCTAGAAACGGCTCTTACAACCTACCATACGAGCTGAGAGCTCTTGAAGCAGTTCTTATTTCTGTCACCTCGGGCCTAGAAGCAGAATTTGCATTGGTTCGCGATCCAGTCACACATATCTTACGAGAACTCGAAGAAGACATTGACAGAGACAAACTACGGCACTTGTTGATACACTCCAAGAAACTCGGAACATTCGAGCAGAAGGCAAGACTGGTTCGAGATGCCATCGACGACCTCCTCGAAGCAGATGATGACCTATCTGCCATGTATCTGACCGAGCGGAAGGCTACGGGCAAGCCCCGCGCTGAAAACGACCATCAAGAAGTTGAAATGCTCCTCGAGTCTTACCACAAAATCTGTGATGAAATCGTCGAAATATCAGGCAATCTAATCAGCAATATCCGCAACACGGAAGAAGTGGTCCGAGCGATTTTGGATGCCAATCGTAACCAGCTCATGTTGCTCGAGCTCAAGTTTAGCATTGGGACACTCGGACTTGCTGGCGGGACACTCATTGCTGGCCTCTATGGCATGAACTTGAAGAACTTCATCGAAGAATCAGACTGGGCTTTTGGTGGAGTCAGCGTTGTGTGCTTCGGTCTGTCATGGTTGATCTGCATCTATGGCATGCGAAAGTTGCACAAAGTGCAGAAAGTGCGTATGTGGGGCGAAGGGCTTGACCACAGCATGGGCTTCCGTGGTGGCAAGATCGGGGGTCGAGGGAATTGGCGCAATGAAGCAGTGGAGAGCCAGGCGCATAAAATTGGTCGGTTGAAAGCAGGAGGAAGTGCTCAGACCGGCCGTGTGCTTTGGCCTGGTATGGACGGGTTGGGAATGCATAAACTCAACAATGCTAACAACGATGACCAGCAGCAGCAGCAACAGCGGAAGGGAATCTTTGGCAGCAACACAAACGCCAGCGCCGACCCGGATGCTGGGGCGAATGCACCCGGCATGACGATTCACGAAGACGTCGATAACGTTGAGGCCAAGATGAAGGCTGATGCGAGGACGGAGAAAGGTCTGATGACCAAGGAGCAGATGAAGGCACAAAAGAGGAAGTGATGCAAAGTCGCTCTCAACCGTGACTCTGTAATATATCTGTGATGTTACGCGGTGGTGTTTTGTCTTTCTCTCCTTTCTTTTTCGGGTATATAGATGGCTGGTCTCATCTCCTTTTGAGCGTTCAAGCGAGGACTGGAATGGGCGGTTCTTGCATAGATTTATATAACACGGGGTCACTGTGTATGAAGGGCCCACGATAGACAGGTTCCAGGTCTCAGGACTCAGGTATTGGAAGGGGGCCTTTGTAATCGAAGACATCTCCGATATCAACACTCCCGTATCTTAATACATATAGTACCGAGTACCGAGTATTGCGGACGGGCCGTGTATATTCGGAGTACCAGATGGAGTGTTCCGTATTGAGTATATACATACACACATAGATATATGTACGTATCTATACTAGCATATATGGAGATGTGATGCTTGTCCCGAGGGTGTGAGCTTCGAGTCCCGAATCTCAATGGAAGGAATATCATGACATCGATTGTTTGTGTTTGATTGTAAGTCGCATTGCGTCTCCTTTTGATTTCTCCTACAGAAGCACGCACCGTTCGGGCTAGCTCTTTCTGGTTATTGAACTGCTGTGCTCGTAGCTATGCTCGTTGCATGGACTGACGGCGAAATATTCTTCGATCGATCGTCTCCGAAATCACCCCAGAGAACCACTTTTGAGCATTCGTCTGAGTCACCATTGATGGCACCCGTACTACCGCATCGGTATCCACCGTTCACACATCACGTCTAGTACTACCATAATCCTCTTGTCCAAGCCTGAACCGTTACAAGGAAGGATTCGGAATGGCCATAAACGTATCCAAGCTTGTGGAAGGCTGTGTAGGGATCACCAATCGTCATCATCATCCTTCTCGTCATCTGTTACAGCAAAGTCAGCATCGGTTCACTGATCGAGTGATAAAGGACAACGCATCCCCAAGAAATCTGGGAACCTCGCAACCAGACAAAAGGGCCGAACTTACCGCTGCCACTAACTTTCTTCTTTCTCTGGCTCAACGCTGCGGCCAATGCTCCAGCCAGACCACCCCCTTGATCTCCGGCTGGCGTTGAGGGAGATCCTGACGCTCCCGGAGGCGGGGGAGCACTACTTTCTCCTCCTGGTACCATTGCCGCACTACGGTCTCGTTTTTCGCTGTCCTTGACCTTGCGTAGGCCACCCCCAGCTTTGCCGCCTGAACCGCGAATAGCTGCGAGAAGCGAGTCACGGTTATCGCCTCCCACAGGAGGCAGAGCGGGAGGGGCAGGTCCAGAAGAGCTGGGCATGGGAGGAGGTGGGGGTGGTCCACCAAAGGAAGGCATGGGGGGCGGAGGAGGTCCGCCACCAAAAGAGGGCATAGGGGGCGGTGGCGGAGGAGGCGGGGGGAGGTGGTGGTGCGACAGCGCTTGTAGGTGGAGGGGGAACTGCTCGAGTATTCGGGGGTGGCAGGGGTGGTGCATTATTACGCGCTGGCGGAGGAGGTGGTGGAGGCTGAGGAATGAACAACGCCGAATGTGATGGCGTTTGTCCTGCTTTGGGTGGTAAAGGCGGTGGGGGACCAGCATAAGCAGCGGATGTCTCACGACTGGGCGGTGGAGGAGGAACAGGTCCACGACTTGGTGGTGGCGGAGGCGCAGAAGACTTGCGTTCCCCAGTGAAAGGTGGCGGTACTCTAAACAAGCCACCCTGGGGTTGTTCCTCCTCAATCGGAGTTTTGGGTGGACGCGGCGGAGGTGGAGGACCTGGATTTGCCAAGGAGCCTGAGGAAGCTCGAGCTCGGCCAGACGGGTGAAGTGCCGGACCTTCTTTGACAGCAAACTTGCCAGCATCTGCAATAGGCGGAGGGGCGCGGAATCTAGGCTGTGGACTTGCCGTGGGGGGAGGAGAGGGGTCCCTTGCTGGTGGAGGAGAGCTTGAACGAGGAGGCGAAGGCGCTCGGCCACCCACAGGTCTTCTCGACGGCGGAGGGGCCGGAGGAGGTCCTCTCCTGCCTGAGGAAGAACTGCCAGTATTCTCCGGGCTAATCCTCGATGGAGGCGCTGAGGGAGGCGGAGGAGGTGGAGGAGCCCTTGATCTGGTCTCGGTAGCTGTGACCGTTGGTATATGAGAACCAAATCCATTGGCCGCACCTTCTGCCTGCTTCTCTTGCACATAACGCTTGATGAAGTCGACGTTTTCGGATATTTGATCTTCGGTAATGCCCATTTGCAGTAGCTCGTCCAGGATGGGCCTCAAGTTTGGATCATTCAGATCAATTGTGTCTGAGTTTCCTTGTGGGTAGCTTGTTGGGGCATATCCAGGGCTGTAGATAGGCTGCGGGATCATTGGTTGAGGTTGTTGGGACGCAGAGCTGTGGCGGTGACCACGGAACAGGTTGCCAACCCGACTGTGATGTTTGTGAGAGCTTCCAGGTACGTGTAATTGGCCTCCTCCAGCGGTAGATGCGAAAGGCTGAGCCTTTGTATGTTTGCTGGCATTTTTCTCACGCTCGTCCATCTTTTTCTTGAATTGTCGAGCCTCTTTCTCGTCGACAAAAGATAAGCCGGCGAGACATTGTTCGAGCTCAAAGGAATGGAAGAATGTGCGATCCTGGTTATATTGAAAGGTGTCGTATATTTCTTGATCCCATATCACGCCTCGGTTCGCAGGAGATATATCGACGAGCTTGATCCAGAAGGTGTTTCCCACCAGATCGTTGGAGAGGACCGCGGCGCCTTGAAGACCAGTATAGGTCCATCGGTTGCGGTTGGGGTGGGCGACGTAGAGACGAGCGACAGCAACGGCTTGGATCTTGTTGGAAGCCTTGGGCACAGTCCGCTTCACCGTCTCCTTGTCAGCATCGGAGAGGACGGACGGCATGTCGAGGCGAGTGACGGTACTCGCGGTCCGTGAAGGGGGAGATAAAGGCTCGAAAAACAGAGATGACTTGCTAAGCGGAGTAAGATTCAAGTCAAACAGGAATAAAAAAGACGAGTAGAGAATAACAGGCTTGTATCAAAGTATAGAAAGGTGATTAATGAACTGAGCAGGCAATTCTCCAAGGGCTTTTCTGTGTCAAGGCGGAGACAAGAGAAAGGCTGAGCCGCGTGGCATTTCGGTCGGATCAATCTCGTTTGGGGAGTCGTTGCGGGGGACCAGAATTCGCAAAAAGGGCGGCCATCCCTGGAGTCACCTAGCCCTCCCTCTAGGGCCCTCCCCTGTTTGCTCTCGGGGGCTTCTTGCTTGGCCCGAAGCCCTGCAATTGGTTGAGCTGGGCGGCCTTCCGTCACTGATGCTTCATCTGCAAACACCCCACACCTCAGACGTCATCGCAATGTTGTGCAACCGTCCGCAGTCTGCAGGCGCAGGAGCCAGGGAATGTCATGGTCACGCAACAACTTGATATCATCACTATATAAACTTGTTGGACCGACCCTCGCTTTTCTCCTCGCCCTTCGACCAGACTTTACCAAAAAAAACCCCTTCATCACAAACAAACTTCTCAAAATGCCTGTCATGCCAAGCGAAGAAAACACCGAGTCCCATATCTTTGACAAGGTCGCCAAAGAGTCCAGCGATTCCACAGCATCCGACCACCCAATTCACAAGGGAGAGCAAAAGGCACAAGCCCATCATCATCAAAGCAAGGGACCTCAGATCTCCGACAGTGAGTTTCTTCTGTGCGCTTCGGCAGTGGGATGATCAAGAAAGCTAACTTGGGTCGGTTAGGTATCCCTGCGGAGACGAAGAGCAAGGAGGAATTGAAGGCTCAGGCACAGGAGATGAACAAATAGATCCGATATGGATAACCAAAGAGATACACAATGAAGCGCCGCTACTGCGAGCTGCTACTGTAACAGTGAAAACAAACAACGGATGGAAAGGAAAGAGCTACATCCAGGGTCACTCCTAGGAATACAATAAATCGTCGACACAAGAATTGCATCGTTCCTTGTTGATTGGGCCGCACTATTTCCCTGTGTCTGTCTGTAATCCTCTAAACCCACCCGTCATATCAGGCTCATCATGTAAATTGAACGTTCCATGGCCCATGGCTGGACTATCCATGCGCACTTTGTCACGACTTCCTTGCACGCTTGCCGAGTGGTTCACCGTCATCCCTTCGCTCCCAGCTTGTGGCCAACACTGGATTTCCCTCGCCGTCTTTGTTGGCCATGACCTTCTCCGACACCTCTTTACCGGTCACCAGCTTGGTGGAGTAATTTTTATCCGTCGGCGCTGTCTCGGGGACTGAACCGAGCAATGTGATTGAAAAGTGTACGAGCCGCCGACAAGCATTCTCAGGATCTGTCTTAGCAGTGTCTTGCGTTTCGATGGTAGATTTCGTCTCCTGTGCTCGGACAGGGTTGGTGGTCTCGGTCTGGCTGATTACCGCGCCGTTATTTGTAGCCTTGTCTTCAATGCTGGCCTTTCTGGCCTTGCTAGTTGCCGCTGATGATCCTTTCTCGCCTTTTGCATCTTTGGCTTCCTTGTCGTCACCTTCTGGTTGTTCACTGTAATTCCAAAGCTCCTTCAGATCCCCTTTCACCAGGGCAGTACCCCAGAATGAGAGGAGGACCCCAGGAACAAGGTAGAGTAACGCGGGCTGCGCATGTTGTGCAACCTGCATCACGACCACGGTCACAATCATTCCAGCGAGGTATCCCAATATAGTGGCGCGAAGATAGGGTTTGGGGAACCGTTTGGCCTTCATCTCCTTGGACCATAGTCTTGAAGAGGTCCAAAACCGTTCTCCCCACCATCCTGTCGCGCTGACATATGTTGGCTTCGATGCATCTCCTTCTAGTTGCTGTCCTTTCTTCGATTGCCGCAGATAGTACAAGTACAAGTCGAATCTCAAAGCAAAAGCCAGCATCATCCCCGGCACGACAATATCGCCCAGCCCCAGCATCGCCATAGTTCGTTTCTTCGCTAGGCATTGCAGGTACTCTTCCATCGCCGCCGATCCTTCAGGCGCACCCACAGGAAACACGCAGCCATCGGGTCGTGGGAAGAGCAATTTGATGGGTACGTCCAGTTTCGTTGCCACTGTGACCATCATCGGGGTGAAGAACACAAAATATATATCATAGAAGAAGAGTGCGCTCAGCACAAGGGTGCCTGTCCAGGCGGTCGTGGGTGTCATGAATTGCAAGGAGCCGTAGCAGAAGGAGAAACCGAGGAAATTGGTCAAGAACCACGGCTTCGACACGAATGTGTGAACATAGACGATGCTGCCGGAGAGTACGAGGCTTAAGACGTCAAGAATTTCGATCCACGTCTTGATGGTGATCAATTCGTGAAGGTGGAATTCGAGCCGAGCCTTCGTGTACAGTATCGCGCGTAGATCCCAGATAGAGTGGACAAGGGATGACGGAAGAGGGATTTGTCCTGCGAGACCCGGAAATGGTGAGCTGTTACGCGTTCCGTTGTCCGCCCTGAAGCATCGTTGCTGCTGGTCCACCTTCCATAACATTCCTGAACGAGAATATTCATTTGGAAGCATAAAAGACCGCACCACAGAGAGGCCGTCTTTCAGAAACTTCACCGCGAAGAACAAGCCGATCTGCGAGAAGTAGATACCCAGGACCCAATTGAGCCAGGCGGGATCTTGGAGCCACTTGAGAATAAAGTAGAGCGATGCCAGTGTGATACCGGCCAAGACAGGGAATAATATCGCGTCAGAAGGAGTCAGGCTCTCAATTCTTGTTGGAGAGTCCTCGTCATCACCTTCGGCGTCTCCATCGGCGTGTTTCTTCGACTTCTTGGGTGCAGCTGACGGCGGCCTCGACAATGAGGCATGAGCGGCTGTGTAGATGGGGAAAATGGCCGAGACAAGCAGATGTATATAGGTCGGCAGAAGAGGTCGCATACTCTCATAATGATAGGCGACCTGGCCTAGAAGCTCCATAACCGGTCCGGGCTCTGAAGCCATCTTTGCAAATTACGCGCCCCTGAGGGAGAGGGACAGGCTGAGACCAGCATATGATGACAAATCTGATAGAGGGAGAGTGCGCACGGGCTGTATTCGGAGGCTTCAGGGGGATACAGGGACAGAATGACGCTCTTGCGTATAACTTAAAAGAGACACGAACAGACTCAATTTCGCTTTCAAGGCTGAAGTCTGTCACTGTGATTGATGGTTGAGGCCAGGCTGGCCTTGGCGGGCTTGGATGGTCGCAAGGCTGTGTCCATACAAGCGCAAGGCTGAACTTATCCAGATTGATTGGCCAGTAACACATCGCGTCCATCCAGCTCAAAATTGCCCATTTGCCTGTATGGCTATCTTCGTGGCTTATAGTATATGAGTAACCGGAAGGACCTCTCCTGTATTTTCTTCACTGCTCTCTCCGCCCAATCGACCTCGCGCCTGTACTGAGGGAATGGCAGCAATGTCTCTATCGCCATCCTCAATGGAGCCGCAACACATTTCGGCCCTTGATCGAGCATGTCGTCTTGCAGGCTGTATTCGACAGACTGAAGTATATTGCGACAGGGTGCGGCGAAGTCTGCCCGATGTTCTAGTGGTGGGAAGTGGAAGATACTGCCAACGTCATCGGTCGAAAATCCGGTAGCCCCGTCCACATTTCCTTGTGCGAAAGCGGCCCCTTCTGCAAATGCCGTCTGCAATTCGGCAATCAGTCCATAGAGGTTCCACAGACCCTGCCACAAGATAGCCTGAACCCCCCAACTGATGATGACCGTGTTGGCGATGGAGAGATTGGGAAAGTGGAATGCCACAGGAAATAACATGCCATCCTTCGAGCCTACGTCAAGACTTTGGTCTTTCGCTAGTTCCGGCCAATATAGTGGCCCGTCATGGCTCTTTTCCAAAGAGTCATAAACGGACTGTAACTCGGCGTCCAGCTTCCAGCATTTCCATATCATCTTCGTCGCAAGCTGCAACTTGCCATCAAAATCCATGTGCTCGAGCATCTCGCCCTGCCTGAGTAGCTCTGGCGCACATGTGAGGAAGTCGTAAATTCGGTCATAGGGTGTTTTCGGTTTGACTTGCCAGGGTACCTCCAGCCACAGCGGATCCCCCAAGAAGGAAGGCTGGCACAGGTCGAGAGAATAGAGGATCTGTATCTGATTAGCCGCTCGCCGCTTCGTTGGTGTCACAGACTCACGCCCTGAATCCTGAAATGTACGAAGATGGAATGCCCCAACCCATCCGTATGCGCCTCCGCACCACGAAGTTGAATCAGCTTTTGGCAGCCTAGAGTATGACTGATGTATCCATGTTTTGACTGATTCGGACATTGACTCATCTCATACATGCCTAAAGCCACACAAGCAGCAAGCGTCTGGTCATGAAGCATCAAGTTTCGATCCCACAGTGCTATTTGGACCTCGCGCAGAGCTTCACGGTAAAGCTTCAGACTCTCATGAACAAGTCCTTCATCACGATAGACTTCGCCAAGCTTAGCGACAGCCAATGCCATCATTGAAATCTCTAATGCTGGAGTAAGATCAGGAAGTCTGGGGACCTGTATCAGCCACACTCTCTGCTGCATTGGACCAAGCCTGTCTTTAGACAAGTGGTTTTCCAGGTACAAGCTCAAGAGGCGCTGTCGAAGAGCCGGGTTGGTGTTGACTTGGGCTCCCAAGCGAATGAGGCTTTGGACTGGATCGAGGTCAAGACCACCAGATGAAGAAGATCCCACCACTCCATTGAAATCTACAGGATCTGGCTGACTATCGTGGGGACGTATTGTCGAACCAATGGTAGATTCAACATACCCTGGATGCTTGGGGTCGTCGCCCTTGGGCGGCTGATGAGCAATGAAGATGGGGTATTTTCGGTATCCGGTGCATATTCTGTTCGATTTAATGCACTGAGCACAGGAAGGTCTTTCTAATCCACACTATTAGCGATG